AGCGCTTGGCTGGCAAGTGCAAGGACATGAGTTCAATCCCTGGTTCCACCAAAATAAATAAATAAATAAATAAATAAATAAATAAATAAATAGATGTAATTTTTAAATATCTACCAACAAAATAAAGCTGAGGCCCTGATGAATTCGCTGCTGAATTCTCCAAGGAATTAGAGAAGACCTAGCACCTCTACTCATGAAACTGAAGGGACGCAATACTCCCAAATTCGTTCTTGGAAGCAAGCATTACGCTTACAGAAAAACTGGAGAAGGATCCAACCAAGAAAGAAAACTACAAGCTAATCTCCCTAATGAACATAGATACAAAAGTCCTATCCAGAGCAAATAGACAAGAGAAAGAAAGAAAAAGAATACAATAAGAAGAGATTAAATTACCATTTTCAGGTGCCATGATACTATACATAGAAGACCCTAAAAACTCCACTAAAAGCTGCTAGATTTAATAGACAAATTCAGTAGCATAGCTGCATACAAAGCCAATACTCAAAAACCAATAGCCTTACCATAAATAACAAACTCACTTGGAGAGAAATTAAGAGAAACAACACCTTTCACAATACCATCCAAAAGAAAGAAAGAGGCCCCAGTCACTGAGCCCACGACGACGACGACTCAGCTGCCTCGCGCTTGAGCCCCCTGCTTCTCGGCGATCCGTCCCCCCCCTTACCAGCCCACCTTCTCCCACAGCCGCCTTCCGCAGGCCGTCTCCACCGAGGAAAAGGAATCGTATCGTATGTCTGCTATCCAGAACCTCCACTCTTTTGACCCCTTTGCTGATGCAAGTAAGGGTGATGACCTGCTTCCTGCTGGCACTGAGGATTATATCCATATAAGAATCCAACAGAGAAACAGCAGGAAGACCCTCACCACCGTCCAAGGGATCGCTGATGATTACGATAAAAAGAAACTGGTGAAGGCGTTTAAGAAGAAATTTGCCTGCAATGGTACTGTCATCGAGCATCCAGAATATGGAGAAGTAATCCAGCTCCAGGGTGACCAGCGCAAGAACATATGCCAGTTCCTGGTAGAGATCGGACTGGCCAAGGACGATCAGCTGAAGGTTCACGGGTTTTAAGTGCTTGTGGCTCACTGAAGCTTACGTGAGGATTTCCTTCCAATGAGTAGAGCGTCCCTTCAGTCCCTTGTCACGTGTTTAAAAACCTCACAGCTTGTATAATGTAACCATCGGGGTCCGCTTTCACTTGGACTCGTGTAACTCCTTCATGTAATAAACTGAAAAGAGTCATGCCGGCTAGTCTGGAAGTCCCTCATTTGAGCGGAGCTCACGCTCTGGGCCGTGGGCAGCGTGTGGCTGGAGCTGCAGTCCCGCAGTGTTTCAGCAGCGCCCCGAGACCTCAGGCAGCTGCGTCTGGCCAGGAGCTCCCCTGCGCGGTCCCTCCCCTAGGAGAAGGTGCCCACCTGAGCAGCCGCAGGGACCCAGGAGAGCGCGGGGTGAGGTGGCAGCATGGCTGCGTCACTAGTGGGACCTCTGGTAGGCAAGAGCCCTGGAGTCCAGCCTGACTAGGTGACAGAGCCGGGTCACCCTCCCTCCAGTGAGGTGGTAACCTGCCCAGCTGGTTGCCCAGGGCATTGGACCAGGTGGCCTAGCTAAGGTGGCCACGCCCCGCACAGAAGCGCGCCCCGGAGCAGCTAACCTTCTGACAGGGGCACACCGAACCGAGCTGCTGTGGAGCTCGCAGTCCACTCAGCCGCTGCCCCACACCATGGGAAGTCACAAACTGGGTTTGGTTTTCTTTCTCTCTTCCGGTTTGATGTTGTGTAATGTATTTAAGCCCTTAATTTAAATAAAACTTGTTTTCAGAAGTGAAAAAAAAAAAAAAGAAAGAAAGAAAGAAAGAAAGAAAGAAAAAGAAAGACAGACAGACCTAAGAATCAGTTTAACGAAGAGTGTGAAAGACCTCTACATTGAAAACTATTTAAAAAAAAAAAAAAATCCTGGGGCCAGGGAGATGGCTCAGTGGAATAAGCGCTTCCCTGGCAAGCACAAGGGCCTGAGTTCAAGCCCCCGTTCCACAAAAAAAAAAAAAAAAAAAAAAAAGAAAGAAAGAAAAAAAAGAAAAGAAAAGAAAAGAAAAGCGGGGGCCCAGCCCTGGCTCAGTTCGGGGCTGG